GCACCCACCCTCCCATCCCTACATGGCCTCTCTGCACACCCAGCCCCAGGGGGACCCTCCCACGGAGCAGGACTCCTGCAGGTCGCAGTCGGTGGCCTGCCTGGGGTGCAGGGGGGTGGGCTCCAGGGCCTAGGGGGAGCCCCCGCCCTCCTCTCCTGCTGCATCCAGGGCAGGTGAGTCCCTCCCCGCGCCAAGGACCCTCCGTCCCCTCTGCCCCGAGGCCCTGAGGACAGGCAACAGGAGCGTGGGGATGGCCACAGCGGGTGCTGGAGGGAAAGCCCATCCTGGACCTGCCCAGGCCCCAGGGCGCTCTCCCCAGTGGGCAGAGGCTGGCACCCGGGCAGAGGGGCGGGTGCTAAGGTCTGGGGGGCAGCTCTGAAGGACCCTGGGGCACCCCGGGTTGGCAGGGCCTCGAGGAGAGGGGGCGGGGGCCTGAGCCCGGAGGTCAGAGAAGCCGGGCGGCCACCCAGTGGGCTGTGGGCAGTGGCCTGGGACACGCCGGCTTCTCTCCAAGGTGCTGACCAGCTGAAGGGGGTGCGTGGTGTAGGGGCGCTGGCCCAGGCACCCCTGCCCAGGCCGTGTGGCTGTCGGCGGGGCCCCAACCCCCACCCAAACCCCGACCCTGGCTCAGGGGCTGAAGGGGGGCGGCTGACTCTGGGCCGGGGGCTGCAGAGGGAAGCCAGGGGACCCTCCCTTCCGCCTGGGCTGGCTGGGGGCTGAGCAGGGAGCCAGAGGGGTGGGTGGCTGTCACCTGCCCCGCCCACGCTCCTGAGTGCCCTTCTCCAGGGGCCTGGGCTGGGCTCCAGTGTCCTGGTTGGGCCCAGGCATGCTGACCCCACACCACAATCCGCAGGGTGTGGAAGACAGGCCATGCCAGGGCCTCCAGGGGCCTCCAGGGGACTGCAGGGGCCTCATTCCCAGGAGAGGAGCAGGCTGCATGGGAGGTGGGGACCCACAGGCAGGGCTCCAGGGCACATTCTGGCCCCAGAGAGTTGGCAGAGAGGACACGGGAACAGCTGCACAAACCTGCCTTTGGGTCCCTCGGCCTCTTCCTTGGCCTGGCTTCCTGGGGGACAGGGAGGAGCACGCGAAGGGGCCCAGGGGCTAATCCCCCTGGCGGCCACCCTGCCACTGCGGGCGGCAGATGGACTTGGGGATGGCCGTCTCTGGGCCTTGGCCTCCACCAGCTGTTGCCACACTTTCTTTGTCTCAGGAAGGACGGGGGCTCGGGGGCAGGAGGGGGCCGGACATGCTGATCCTTAATCCTGACGGTGGCTTAATCCACAAGGATCAGCTCGCGGTTTGGGAACTGGAGGCATCGCTCAGGAGACGCGGGCTGGGGGCGACTCGGGAAGCTGGGAGGGCTGGGCCTGCGTCCCCAGGGCCTGGCAGACACCAGGACCCCAGGCTGATGGAGCAGGGGCCCTGATGTCAGGAGGCCCCTGGTCTGGCCCTGGCTCTGCTGTGTGACCGTGGGCAACTTCCCACCACTCTCTGGGCCCAGCTTTCTCCCTGGACGAGGAGCTCCACTGGGGACCTATCCTGATGCCAACCTGCCCCACCCCACGGTGCAGGCCCGGGAAGCTGGAAGGGGCTGTGAGGGGCTCCGCGGGAGGAGCGCTGCGGCTGACTGTGGTGGGAAGGAAGGGGCAACCTGGTCAGGGGACAACGACGCAGGTGAAAAGAGCCAAGTTGTGCCCGAAGCCAGGGACCCGGTGGGAAATGCCTTTCTCCTTGAGTCTGAATGTGGGGTCACCATGTTGGCCCCTGGTTCTGGGCCAGACCCTGCCAGAGACCAGCACAGGGACTCCTTCCCACTGTGGCCGGATTGTTCCCACCTAGAAAACAGTCTGGGCATGTGACAGCATGTGGCCCCTGGCTCTGAGGCTGGGTGAGAGGTGGACTCAGAGATGGCCCAGCCCCGGGGCCAGGCGGGCAGTGGGGAGCAGGCCAGGTTCCTGACCCGAGGAGCAGATGATCAAGGGTGCTGGAGGGCATGACCTTGACAGTGAGGTGCAGTGGGGGGCCGGGGTGGGGTGGAGGTGATCAGGAGGTGAACAGGACCCCGACCCGGGGGGGGGGACGTCGGAGCAGGAGCCGGGACTCCTCATCCCGTGGTCAGAGTCCCCGCACGACCACGTAGACCTCGGGCCAGCTGCAGTCCCCCAGCCTCACTGTCTGTGCCTATGGGTCAGGGTCCTTGCGTGTGTGTCCCCCGGCTTTGGGTAGTAAGTGGACACCCTGGGGACAGCACTGGGGAGGGGCTCACTGTGCAGCAAACTCTCCTGTCCCGAGCCAGCTTGCAACCTGGGGGTGGGGGCGCCAGGACCCCGGTGGGGCTCATCAGCCCTGCCCCCTGGCCAGCCAGCCCAGGCCCCTCAGACCTGGACCGCCGGGGGGATCTTCCTCCACCGCAGTTAAGCATTAACTTGGGTTTCAGCAGAAAGTGCTAGAACTGGGACCCAGGCTTAGTGGGCAGCAGGTTCCTGGGGGGGTTCAGGGGTGAGAAGAAGCGGGGTGTGGGGCGTGGAGGGGTGGGGATCCCCGCTGCTGAGGGAGCCCTGAGCTAGGAGTCAAAGGACCCGCATTTGGGTCATTCACCTCTCTGCACCCCGACTTCTCCCCGGGCAAGGTGGGATGAGAATAGGGCCCTAGGCTCTCTCTCCCGGGGAGGGGCCGACACGGGGCGGTGCAGACCCCTGGCCGAGGTGAGGACGCGTTGTACATCCCAAACAGCCAGTGCTGCCCCCACCCCGCCCAGCACCCCCCGACCCCCGCGATGGTGCCCTGGACCCCAGGCGTGGCCTCCCCTCCCACCTGCGGCCAAGGCTGAGCAAACAGGAGGTCACGAGGGAAGAAGCCTCCTGTTTCTTGGGAAAGCGGCCTCCCTGGCAGGAGGCCCAGGGAGCTGGCAGAGGCTGCCCTAACGTGGCAGGCAGGGGGTTCTGAGGACGTGGACGGGGCGGGAGGCTCGCGGGAGGTGAAGGAGAAAGTGTAGGGGCTCTTCGGGGGTGGAGTTGCCTAGGGTTAGGGTGTGGGCACAGGCTGGGGTGGGGACCCAGGGGCACCGAGGGCTGTTGGCGCGGCCTGGGTAAATAGCATGGGCCCATGGCACACATGAGTGTTTGCACAGAAGGACTTGAAATGGTTCCAGACCTGCCCTCTGTCCCCCACCACCAGCCCCCCTGTCCCTGCCCACCCCACCCACCCTGACCTCTTCTTCCTTGTCACTTAAAGGAGCCCTTGAAAGGAAGAGTTAGAATCAAAGGGAACACCCTTCTCTCCTGTTGGCACTCTCGCTACGGCAGGAAACTGTGGGGCTGCCATGGAAGGTTGGGAAGGTTGGGCACTGAGTAAGAGGAATGGGTAGAGGGCGCTGAAATTCTAGCTGGGCCCCATTCACCAAGTTTTGCTACCTGGAGAGGAAGGGATATCATTTCAAACCAGGTTCTTTCCCTTGCTCCATCTGCAGGGGCAAAGGCCAAGCGCACACTGAGGTTGAGCAGGTCAGTCCACACTGGATGGGCCGGGAAACACACGCCCTCCACGCTGGGAGCGAACTCCTATAAATTTGGCCTTGGAAGAAGCTATCAGTCCTCAGATGAGTCTCCTCCTCCCGCCGGCCAGATACCTTTAAAAAAGGCAACTCAAGCCAAGCACGGTGGCGCAGGCCTGTGATCCCAGCAGCTCAGGAGGCTGAGGCAGGAGGATCACAAGTTCAAGCTCAGCCTCAACAACTTAGTGAGCCCCTGTCTCAAAATGAAAAATAAAAAGGGCTGTGTTGTGGCTCGGTGGGTAAGCGCCCCTGGATTGGCCCAGTGCAAAAAGAAACGGAACTCAAACTTGAACTCTCAGAGGCCCAGAGAGTGGGCGTCAGCTGCCCCAGGGCTCCGGGCGCCACACTCTGAGACCCTTGGTTTTAACATCCGCACGGCCTGGTCATCCTCCGTCCCTCCTGTCCTTTCCCTTCCTCCTCTGCCGCAGCACCTGGGTGACCTTCCGCCTGTGTCTGGATGTGTGCTGAGCCTTGGGCCCACACATCACCCACTGTCCCCAGGAGCCTCTTCAGTCCCTGCCCCCCGAGCCGGGTGGTCTGGTGCGGCCCGGGCAGCTGGCCGTGGGGGGCTTCTGAGTTGGTGCCAAGGCCAGCGGGGGCTGGGGGCCCTGGGGCAGCAGTGAGGAGGGGGCATCGAGATGCCGAGGGCCCTCTTGTTCTCTGGAGCCACCCGGTCACCCACCAGGAAAGCCCAGCACTGGGCACCACCCCAGAGGGCCGGGGAGGGTGAGGCGGGGGGAACCAGGACTCGGGGGGGGGGGTGTCTTAGAGCCGCTCCCTGTGACTCCATTCACACCCCGACAGCCCCTGGGAAGGGGAAGGGACAGCTCCCAACTTGCGGGGGCTCCTGTCTCCACCCTGGGGAGGGACTTTCTTCTCTCCCGGGGCTGGTGATGCAGGCAGCCTTCGGTGACCTCCTCCTTCCACACCCTGCCAAGGGCGGCACAGAAGGACGGGGCAGGTGAGGCTTGGTGGCAGAGTACCCACCTGGCATGGGTCCAACCCCAGCATGGAAACAAAAATCAACAAAATTTTAAAAGGCAGGATTTAAAAAGAAAAAAAAAAAAAACACCTTGGCTACAGCAGGAAAGATTCAGGTTAGATTAGCAGGACAGGCTGAACATCAAGGGCTCCAGTCCAGCCCTTCTTCTGCTCATCTGCCCAGTGGGGCTCCTCAGCCGTCGGGGGGACTGGCCGGTCAGAACCTCCGGCTGCTCTGAGCCGGCCGCAGGGGAGGCGCTGCCCACGGCCCTCCTGCGCCTCCCACCTGCCCGAGGTTCCCGCCGGCCCTGGCCTCGCTGCCCAGTGACCCAGAAGCCCAGCCCCCAGGCCGGGCCCACTGCCCACCGGCCTCGTCCCTAACCGGCTTAGCGGCCCCGGGACAGTCCACGCTGACTCTGCCTCTCGTTCCGCAGGCGCCGCCGCCCGCCCGAGCCCCGGCGCCATGGGCAGCGCCAGCCCCAGCGCCGCGCCCCCCGGCTGCCTGCTGCTGCCCCCCGACGGCCTGGAGAAGGGGGCGGCGCCCGAGAGACGGGCCTGGAGCCCCCGCCGCCCGGCCACCCCCGACCAGGGCCTGTCCGCCTTCTACCTCTCCTATTTTGACATGCTCTACCCCGAGGAGGGGACCTGGGCCGCCAAAGGGCCCCCGGCCAGCGCTCGGGAGGAGCCGCCCGAGGAGCCAGAGCAGTGCCCGGTCATCGACAGCCAGGCGCCGGGGGGCGGCCTGGACCTGGTGCCGGGGGCGCTGGCCCTAGAGGAGCACTCGCTGGAGCAGGTGCAGTCCATGGTGGTGGGCGAGGTGCTCAAGGACATCGAGACGGCCTGCAGGCTGCTCAGCATCACCGCAGGTGAGCGGGCCTCCCTGGGCAGGGCAGGGCAGGGCTGAGGAGGGTGGGCACCACTGGACGCGATGAGGCCACCTGCCCCAGCCCCAGGCGGCCCCAGGGACGCTGGGACTCCTCACACAGCCCACAAGGCACATCAGCTGAAGCCAGGTCTGGGAGGGTTTCTGCCCAGTGTCCCCAGTGAATTCAGGCTCTGTCACCTGGCCCACCTCCTCTGGGATTCATCTCTGCTGTCCTCTCATTCACTCTCTGCTGTTCCCATGACACTCACCACTTTGCACCTGCTGGTCCCTCAGCATAGAATAATACTCTTCCCTCAAATACCTACTGGGCTCCTTCAGGTCCTGATGACAGACACCCCCTCAATGAGGCCTTCTCTGGTCCCTCTATTGGAATTGTTGCCCACAGCCAGGTGCAGTGGCACACACCCACAATTCCAGCAACTTGGGAGGCTGAGGCAAGAGGATTGCAAATTTAAGGCCAGCCTCAGCAACTTAGCAAGACCTTGTCTCAAAATTAAAAAAAAAAAAAAAAAATGAAAAGGATAGAGAATCCGGGGATGTAGTTCAGTTGTAAAGCATCCTTCAGTTCAACCCCCAGTACCAAGAAAGAAAGAAAGAAATTGCTGACTATGTTCTGACTCTCCTTATCTCTCATAGTTCTTTTTAGATCTCTCACAGCGGGCCCAACCGTCTGACATGCTGCTTCTTTCCTATCTTGTTGACTGTGTGTCCCCCAGTATGATATGCACTCCACAAAGGCAGGGATTTTCCTCTGTTTCTTCATTTCCAGAGCCCTAGTTCCTAGGGTAGCACCCTGAACATAACAGATGCTCAATAAACAGCTGTGGAACAAATTCAACCACAGGTGCTTCTTCCCAGGCCAGCCCTGTTCTAGGCCTGGGGAACCGAGTGGTGACTTAACACAGAGGTCACTATGAGGTTCATGGACTGACATTACAGAGAGGAAAGCAGGTCACAAATAGAATGTGTCCCTGGTCTGGTGGCAAGGAGGCTCTGAGGAGGAGGGGACACAAGGGGCCGAGCATGTGTGCGCCGGGCCTGGGGTGGTCATGGAGCTGATGCCGTGGGGCTCGTCCCTGGTGAATCGTCCCCCTGGCACTTTTGTTTGGGGGCTCACGTTTGAGCGTCCCTATTCGCCCTGCAGCTTTCACAAGGGAAAGGGGGGTCGTCACACATCCCTCTGTCCCAGCCCTGCTCCCCAGCGTCCCACATGGTGCCCACACTCAGGGGCACCCCCGTCTTACCATATCCAACACTTGTGCCAGCCCCGACGCAGAGCCTCTCCCAGGACGCCTCTTCCCCCACGCGAGGCCTGGGAGGGACGCGCTCTGAGAACAATGGGGACAGAAACAAATTGCTTTGACCTCAGGAGGAAAATGGGTTTATGAAGCGGGAGCAGCCTAGCCTGCAGGTCACCTGCTGGGGCACGGCCTCGGGCCATGATGTTCCCTTGGATGCGTCCATCTTTGTACCCAGCCCGGGCTCCCTCCAGGGTAGCTTCCCATGGGAGACTGGGACCTAGCCAGTGTGCCCCTCCTGGCCCGAGTCCTGTAGCTGCCCCATCACCGCCCTGCCCCTGGTCACTTCTTTCTTCCACACACGTGCATTGAGCAGCTACTATGCAGCCCGCCCATTGTGAGGTGTTGGGTCAGTGTCCTTCTCTGTAAGATGACGGGGATGGTGTTGGGGTTGTCACCTGCATTCCTGGTTAGGTTTTCCTCTGGTCTGAGGAAGGCAAGAGGCATCTAGGGAGAAGCTCTGGTGTCTCTAGCTTATTGTCACCATCCCTGCCAGGGCTGGGGCTGTCCTGAAAGGTCCTCTGGAGGCCGGAGGGGTCCGAGGGGACCGAGGCCTGGGTGAGAGGCCGGGCAGAGGCCAGGCCCTTCCCTGAGCCAAATTTGGTTCTCTGCCCAGCTCCTCCCCTGCGTCCCCTCCTTCCTGGGGTGCCTGCTTCCACAGGGCCCCCCCCCCCAGGCCCGTCTAAGTCTGGCTTGTCCCCATCCGAGGCACGCATGGCCCGAGGCCACAGTTTCCCATGGGTGAATCAGCTGTGGGTGGGGCACCCGTGGGTGGCGCCCAAGCCCGAGCTGAGGGGCCCTTCCCACGCAGACCCTGTGGGCTGGAGCCCCGGCAACGTGCAGAAGTGGCTGCTGTGGACCGAGCACCAGTACCGCCTGCCCCCCGTGGGCAGGGCCTTCCAGGACCTGGGCGGCAAGGAGCTGTGCGCCCTGTCCGAGGAGCAGTTCCGCCAGCGCTCCCCCCTGGGCGGGGACGTGCTGCACGCCCACCTGGACATCTGGAAATCAGGTGCGCGGCCGTGGGGCTCCCCTCGGGGAGCCAAGCGGGGGATGCCGAGTGGGCGGGTGAGGCCAGGATGCTGCCAAGAGATGGCCCTGGACCGGGACCGCCCAAACCAAACCCCCTCTCTGAATCTCTACCCAGGGACAGGAGCCTCCCTGGGCCCCGGGCATCTCACCCACTTAGCAGCCCCAGCCTGGTGGGGGGCAGAGAGCTGTAGCCCACGGAAGGGAAAAGGTAGAAGGCTAGACCAGGGGACGCAGGGTGTCAGAGCCGAGGGTGACTGAGGACAGCGAGAAATCCTTCTTTTTACTTTTTAAAAATTTGTTTATTTTGCTTTATTTTCCATTAAAGAAGTCATGAAGTAACAAATGTGCACATTTAGAAAAAAAAAATCGCAGTAAGCGGGCGGGGTAGCACACGTCTGTGATCCCAGCGACTCCAGAGGCTGAGGCAGGAGGAAGTTTGAGGCCAGCAATTCAGGAGGTTGAGGCAGGAGAATCACAAGTTTGAGGCCAGCCTCAGTAACTTAGGGGGACCTTCTTTCAAAATAAAAAAAAGAGAAAAGGTCTGGGGTGTAGCTCAGCAGTAGAACGTGGGCCTAGCATGTCCACAAGGCCCTGGTTCCAATCCCCAAGCACCATTGAAAAAAAGAAAATAAGGGCTGGGGCTCAGCGGCAGAGCGCTCACCTAGCACGTGCAAAGCCCTGGGTTTGATCCTCAGCACCCCATAAAGATTTAAAAAATAAATAAAAGTATTATGTCCAACTAAACTAAAATATATATATATATATATATATATATTTTTTTTTTTTAAATCAAGACCATGATGAAAATAGTAAATAGTATATTTTGAGCGTAAGCCCCCCCTCCCGCCCCGGCCTTAATACTGAGTGCTTCCCAGTGGCAGCCACTGTCACCAGTTTCCGGGGTATCTTTCCTGAGAAAGTCTATGCATCTTCAAGCAAATGTACGAATGTAGTTTTAATGCTCAAAAAACAAACCCAGGGGCTGGGGTTGTGGCTCAGTTGTAGCGCCCTTGCCTGGCACATGCGAGGCCCTGGGTTCGATTCTCAGCAAACAGATAAATAAATAAGTAAAATAAGGTCCACCAACAACTAAAACAATATTTTAAAAAAATCCATAAGGAGTCCTGTGGGTCACACTGCTCTTGGCTCCAGTGTGTGGGACCTGCTTCCCATCAGCAGACACACAGCTGCCCTGTTCCTTTGGTGGCCATTTGTCAACCCCTGCGTGTTTAAATTGTCCCCATCTCTTTGGACACCACTGTGTCCTGTGCAGATCAGCTCTTTGGAGGATGTGGTTCTTGCTCAGTGAGTCCGGACCTGTCCCTAGGGGCCTGCAATGAATACGGGGACTGGCCCCGCTCAGAACTCCATCAGAGACCCGTGCCTGCCCAGCCCAGGCCCCTGGTGGGTGGGTGGTGACCTCCTGGTCCCTAGCCAGCTGCCTCACCCAGGAGAGACCAGAGGGCCAGGTGGAGAGCTGGGGGCGGCTCTGCTTGGTGCACTTGGCAGCTGGAGGGCAGGGGCTGGTGTTTACGATGCCCTGCGCTGAGCAAGGTGCAGACCTCACACCCACTCCAGGCCAGGCCTCTGCAGGGGTGCCCCGCCCCTCCAGGAAGAGGGAAGGCCCTCTGCGGGCTTCCGTGGCCCCTGCATCTCAGCACAGGCAGGGCCTCCACCTCCGGCTTAGCTCTGAAACCCTACCCTTCACCCAGCGGCTCCTGGAAAAGCAACCTGACTGTGCACGTTGGCAGGAGGCAGGGAGCCACAGGGACCCCCCATAAGCCTACCCACACGCCTCCCTCCTCCCCTCTTGGGGCCTCTCCTGGGTCACCAACCTTCTCTCCTTGTCCTACAGCGGCCTGGATGAAAGAGAGGACCTCCCCGGGCGCCGTTCACTGCTGCGGTGAGCCAGGCAGGGCAGGGAGGCCCCGGGCGCGGGTGGGTTGAGGGGCCGCAGAGGCACAGACGGCTGCTGCTGCAGCTGCCCACTCATCGCCCCTCCCTGGCCACCAGCCTCCAACAGCGAGGAGAGCTGGACCGACAGCGAGGTGGACTCGTCCTGCTCCGGACAGCCCATCCACCTGTGGCAGTTCCTCAAGGAGCTGCTGCTCAAGCCCCACAGCTATGGTCGCTTCATCCGGTGGCTCAACAAGGAGAAGGGTGAGAGAGGGGGCGCCCTGGGGTGGGGAGGGGCTGCCCCACGTTCACCCTGGATACCAAACTTGCCACGGAGGGTCTGGTTGCCATGGTGACCTCATCTGTCTCCTGGTTAGACTCTGTCCTGTTTAGGATCCTCAGAAATTGCACAGTGCTTGCTGAGAAGGAGCCTCAGCCTTTGTCCTCAAAACATCACAGCGTCACTGAGGAGACTAAAGATGCCCAGGAACAGACACCATGTGCATCCCATATGGAACTTAACCCCTGAGCCATGTCCCCAGCTCTTTTCCTTATAGTTTAGAGACAGGGTCTCACTGAGTTGCTTAGGGCCTCCTTAAGTTGCTGAGGCTGGTTTTGAACCCAAGATCTTCCTGTCTCAGGCTTCTGAGCAGCTGGGATTACAGGCGTGTGACACCATGCCTGGCTGTAACTTGAATTTTCTAGCAGCTGCCTTTTGGAATATTTAAAAAGATGTAAATTTGGGGCTTGGGATGGATCCGATGTAGCATGCCTGAGGCCTGGGTTCCATCCCTAGCTCTGCAAAAAGAAAAGAGATATATGTAGACAGGAAAATAAAAACAGATTTGATTTTAATAATATAGGTTGTGCATCCCTAATTCAAAAATCTGAAATCTGCTCCCTCCAGGCCGCTGCGGGACAAGGAGAGGAGTTGGTGACTCAGGAGAGGCCCCAAGAGGGGAGGAGGGAGGCAGATTTGGGGTTTTCACATGAGGGATGTCCAGTGGGTAAAGTGTACGCCAATATTCCAAAATCCTAAAAACTCCAAAATCTGAAACAGTTCCGATCCCAAGAATTTCACAGGATGCTTGGCCTGTATTTAATCTGCTGGTGTAAGTTACTGTGATTTCAACGTGTAACAAACAAGCAATTTCTGAGGCATGGGGCTACGTCTTAAAACCTAGTGTGTCTTTCACACTCTGCGCACATCTCAGTGTGGACAGCCACATTTCAAGTGCTCAACAGCCACCAGTGCCTGGTGGCCACCGTATTGGACAGCGCAGGGCTAGATGGCGAGTGCGTGTGTCCCTCAACACCTAGAACCAAGGAGCCTGACTGTGGGAGGCTGGGCCTCACGGAGGCCTACCCTGACTGTGCCTGTGCTCAGTCACTTACAGAGAATCATAGTGTCCTGAGGGTTCGGGGCGGGCACAGCCACACTCTGTCCTCAAGGGACCCACAGTCTTGTATGAAAAATAGCAGTGAAATGGGCTTTGTGGGGACCTTTTGGGGACTGTATTAAGAAGGAGGGGATCACTTGTGTCGGTCCAGGAAGACTTCAGAGGAGGGCAGAGGGACAAGCCGTGGTGGGGCAGTGCTCCTGCGCAGGGTGTGCTGGCCTCCGTGTGCACTGGAGACCAGGGACGAGCCCTGGGGACGCTCCCTGGAGAGGGCGTGCTGGCCGGGCCTGGGCCTGGGCCTGGGCAGGAGGGTTCAGGATGAGGACTGAGGGTGGTGACAATGGAATGCTTGTCCTGTGGGGCCCTTCCTCAGGCTCCTCTCTAAACACTGCTGTAAGGACTCCACCCCATGGTGGCCACTGCCACCCCCTCCCATAGACAGGGGCAAAGAGCCTCAGCAGGGCCAGGGCTCCAGCCTGGGGACTGCTCCAGACCTGCTCTCTGGCCACCCTTGTGTGGCTGGGACATCAGAGAACGGCAGAGGCCGTTTCAGGAGTAGGAAGTCCAGGGGGGTGGGTGACAGGGGCCCAGAGATCTTGCCAAGTGTGTCACAGACACAGAAAGGGGCCCAGCAGGGCTTCCAGGATCCTATGCCATCTCTACAACAGGAGTGGCTGGTGGTGACAAGGGCCAGACCCGCGGATCCCCAAAGACCCCACCAATTTCCCAGACCACACTGGGAGGCTGGAGCCTGCATAGACTCCTCGGCCATTCGTGGGGGCTGTGGCGCCTGTTCTAGGCTCCTTTAGTCCTCAGCACACACAGGGGCAGGGGTGTTACGGTCCCCGAAGCCTGGCCCCCGCCCCCCCCCCCCGGGCCTGGAGCTGAAGGGAGCCAGGGTCCCTGTTCCCTTGATTTGCAGACTGACCTGTTGATCTGGCCTTTTGCTGCTGTCCCCACACTCACACTGACTGTCCGTGGGCCTTTCTGCTCCCCCAGGCATCTTCAAAATCGAGGACTCTGCCCAGGTGGCCCGGCTGTGGGGCATCCGCAAGAACCGGCCCGCCATGAACTACGACAAGCTGAGCCGCTCTATCCGCCAGTATTACAAGAAGGGCATCATCCGCAAGCCCGATGTCTCCCAGCGCCTCGTCTACCAGTTTGTGCACCCCATCTGAGGGCTGCGGAGGGCCCAGGCCTGACACCACCCTCAGGGCCCTCTCGCCCGCCGGCCTCTGCCTCGGCCAGAGCCTGAGCCTGGGTAGAACGGGCGGGCGGCGTGCTGCTGGCCAAGGTCAGGGAGGGGATGGCCCGCGATCCCAGGGCCACAGTGAGCTCTCCTGGACCCTTGGGTGGGGGTGCTTCCTCCTAGGGCCTCACTGCTCACGTGCGTCGTCCCCTGGAGGACAGAGGGAGAGGGAGAGCCTCCTTCCACCCAGCCTCTGACCCCAGAATTGCGGAGCAGAGCCCACAGAATGGCAAGGACTTGGCCAAGTTCACGTGCAGGGCTGCGCTTCTTCCTGCCACATCCCCTGCCACACCTCCGCACCGTGCCTCCGTGGTGCGTCCTGAGTTGGGGGGTCAGACGTGACCCCAGGAGTGGATAATAAAGACATGAGTGAACTGACAGGTCCCCAGTGTCGTGGAAGTGAATGGCGCAGCCTGGAGGCCATCTGCAGCCCAAAGGCTGTGGTCCCAGGGGCCTGGGGTGGTGGGGGAGGCTTCCTGGGGGAGGTGGCATTGGGCTGGCATTGCTGGATAGAAGCTTGTGTGAGATGGACCGTGAGTCCCCAGGACCAGGGGAGTCTGGAACCGGCCACTTCATCTTTCCCTCCTGATGGGCTGAGGGCAGGAGGCAGGGCCGGGGCCGAGGGGGCTCCGCCTGTGTCCTGTGGAGAGGGGGGGCGTCCTCTGCAGCCTGTGACAGTGGCAGGGAGCCCAGGGCCCTGATCTCTGCTAGGCCAACTGAGGCCGCCGGACCTGCAGCGTAGTGGACAGGGGAGAGGGGTGGGCACTTCAGTCCCCTTATGGGACACTGGCTCTGTGCAGATGGTAGGAGAGAGAGGTCGCTTCCTTGAAGTTTCTGTCCCCTGAAGGCCACAGCAGCACCATCCGCAGGGCTGTGAGTCCCAGTGAGAATCTATGAGAGCTGCGCCCATTGCCGGGGAGGGGTGTGGGCACCTGAGCTTATTTGGCGGGACACCAGCCTCACCGTCCATTCTTCTGAGCAAGTAGCTCCCTTAGCTTCTTTTTTGGTACCGGGGATTGAACTCAGGGCCACTCAACCCCTGAGCCACATCCCCAGCCCCATTTTGTATTTTATTTAGAGACAGGGTCTTGCAGTTGCTTAGCACCTTGTTTTGCTGAGGCTGGCTTTGAACTCATGTTCCTCCTGCCTCCTGAGCCCCTGGATTACAGACATGCGCCACTGCACCCGGCTTCCCTTAGCTGCTGCTGCTTCTTCATATATATATATATACATACTGTACTTGGACACAATATCTTTATTTTCTTTATATGCTGAGGATCCAACCCAGTGCCTCACACATGCAAGGCAAGCGCTCTACCACCGAGCGACAGCCCCAGCCCTTCCCTTAGCTTCTTTATGCTCCGCCCACATTGACTCACCAGCTTATGTGTCCAAGCATCTACCATGTGCCAGGTGTTCCTGCTGCTTTTTCTTTTTTTTTTTTGTCATTGACCGTCCCAATAAAGCTTTGAAGCAGAGTTCATGCCCCCATTTTGCAGATGATGCAACTGAGGCTCAGAGCAATTAAGCCACGGGCTTGCAATCACACAGCTGAGTAGCAGCAGAACCAGAAAGGGAACCTTGGTCCATCTCTCCCCAAGGACAGGGCTCTTCCTGTCCCTCCATCCTCCTGTTCCATGACTGCTCAGCATCCTCAGTGTCCACAGCCTCTGCCTCTGAGGCCAGGTTTCCAGAAAGCGAGCAGGAACGAGCGCCACCAGCCCACCAGGGTCAAGTCCTGCCCTGTCCCCTGCCTTCTGCCTCCAGCAGCTTCATTGTCTTCAGGAGAAGTTGACCTTGGCAGTGAGCCAACAGCACCCTGGCGTCTGCCAGCTGGGATGGGTCCTGGGGAAGGAGGGGCCCTGCCCCGGGCCTGTGCCTCGCTGGGCCCTGGCTGTCACCCATCCCTGGGGGAGGGGGCAGACTGGGGCCCTGGCCAGAACCAGGCTCAGCTCTGGGGAACTGGTTTTGTCTCCGGCCCGCCCTCCCCACCCCCAAAGAGTCTTGGAGCCACCTGCTTGGATGTCCCGGCTGGGCCAGGGCCTCGGCGGCCTCAGCTCAGAGGGGCCCAGGAGCAGGAGGGGTGGGGGAGTAGGGCAAGCAGTGGGGAGATGGAGCAGCTCCAGAAAGAGGGGTCCTGGGGGCCTCAGGGGGCAGCCCCTGCACAGGAACGCTTGGCAGTGACACCTCGTGAGGGGCCACAGGGGCCACATGGGCTCCTCTTCCCCCTCCACACTCGGCCCCATCAGCACCACCCCCCCAGCCAGGGGTCTCCCTGACCTCTCCTCAAGGCGCGCGCCTCCAGGGCTGCCCATCACTAAATGGAACAGTCTACGCAAACAGGACAGTGTGACTTCTGGTCTTTACTCAAAGATTCCTCTGGCCGAAACCAAGGCTTCAAATGGAAGTAGATTAGGGAGTAAGGAAGGTGGGCGGCCAGTAGATGCAATCCCCCATCCAACCTCTCCTGGTCCTGAGCTCCCCCGGGGGCAGGAGGCTGGTGGTGGTGATGATGGGGTGAGGGGCTGTGTCTGGCCCCTGCCCAGCTGCCAGGACACAGGTGCCTCAGAGACACCTCACTGGATGGGGGAGCTGAGACCCAGGGCGGGGGTGGAACACAGGGAACTGGTGGTAGAACAGGACTGGCCCGGGACTCCTGCTCTGCCCCGAAGACACCCACCAGGGATGCAGCTGGTGTCAGGGAGCTCAGGCTGGGGCTGGAGTTAGTGCTGCGGCAGGGCCTGGGGGTGTCTCAAGAAACATCTTCAGGGTAGGGCCTGCTGTTATGCCAGGGAGCCTGGGCAGCTACAACCACAGGCCCCAGCCTGCACTTCCAGAATATTTTTTCTCTTTTTGTTTTTGGTACTGGGAATTGAACCCAGGGGCACTCAATAGCTGGGCCATATCTCCAGCCCTTTAAAAAATATTTTTATTCAGAGACAGGGTCTCACTGAGTTGCTTAGGGCCTCACTAAGTTGCTGAGGCTGGCTTTAAACTCTTGATCCTCCTGCCTCGGCCTCCCAAGCTGCTGGGATTACAGGTGTGCACCACCATGCCCTGCTGGCTCTCAGAATTCTGCTTTAAAAATAAACAAACTATTCCGATGCCGAGTTCACCCTTAGACCGTGAGTTTGGGACCCTAAATGCCCCAACTTTCCCTGTCACCAGGCACCAGTACCCAAGAACCTCCAGCATAACCTCCCTGAATAGACAGGATCTGAGACCCTGGGAGGTGGAGGGACCAGCCCTCAGCCCCCCAGCCTCATGGTGGTCAGCCAGGACAGCCCCCATCCTGCTGGGGGACTGCCTCCCTGACGAAGAGCCTCCAGTACGAAGAGCCTTCACAACCCTCAGGACCCAAGATGCACGCAACTCAAGACGAGCACGCCCAGCCAGGTTGACACAATTCTGGATTTTATCCACAGTCGTACAGTCACAACTTATATATATATATATATATTTGTATTTATATACCTTTAAATTACACAATCATGTACAAAACAGGTGCATTGCTGAGACCACAGCACTTCTCGGAGTTTCACAAGTGTTGAACTAATGGAATCAGGAAGCCTAAGTGGCAGACGGTGGGTGGCGGGCGGCGGGCAGCCCTGGCCCCTCACAGAACCAGGCTGTAGAATGGTGCTAACTGGGGACAAAACACATGACTCGCCGGGCACCCCTTCCCCCGGGCGCCCGTGCAGCATCGAGGGTGGGCGGGGGCCGTGGGAGGCGGCTGTGGGCACATGGGCACCCCAACACCAGCTCTGACAAGTGGGGCTGGCCCCAGGGGCTCAGGGGGACTTCCAGGTGGGAGACCCTCCAGCGCCAGGGTCCTGAGGAGCTCGGGGACTGAGAGAAGGTGGTCCCAAATGGGGCGGTGGAGGTGCTTGCCCCAAAGGGATTTTCCAGTCCCTGCCCTGAAGGGGCAGCGGGAGTGCAAGGGCGACAGCCTAGGGTCCAGCCAGGGCCGCAGCCCCTCCCCAGGTGCTGGGAAGCCACGGGCACAGAGAGGGGGAGCCCAGGCCCCAAGTGCAGGTGTGCTGGCGCCCTGCCTTTCCAGGGTAGGTGGTGAGGGGCAGAGGCCCCGGCCCAGCTCCTGCCCTCAGGGGCGGCAGCAGCTTGGTCCCAGAGCCGGGAGGGCCATGGGCTTCTGGGATTATACCCCAGCTCTGAGGCCCAGGGCACATCTCAGGCTGCAGCAGAGACTCAGAGACCAGAAGTGATAAGGAAGGGGTGCTGGCAGCTGGGGGGTGCCTGTGCCTGGGGTGCCTTTGCCCTGGCCCTGAGGGAGGCTTGCCCTAGCTCAGGCGGCCACCACAGCTGTCACGATCCTCTGTGCCCATAGGAAGAAGAGCAGAGCCTCGTGCCAGGGCATACCACCTCCTAACAGTGGGCTTCTGGGAGACGCAGCAGGAGAGAAAGAGGACTGAGGGGGTCTGAGGGGCTGGGATAGGATGCCATCTTTACCTGGAGGCCCCGGAGGCCACCTGAGGCAAAAGGGAGGACCACAGGTGTCTGCAGTCCAGAGGCCTAGAAGTGGCACCAGCTGTGAGCAAGCCTTGCCCAGGGCAGCAGGACTTCTGAGGGCCTCGCCCCAGAGACTTCCAAGAGACTTTTCCTCTAGACTTTTCTACTCATCCACCTTTGGGGGCCTTGTCAACCTGGTTGTTCTCAAGCTCTCCCCTACACCCCCACCCCAAGGGAGAGGCTGGCACTCTGCACCACTGCTCTCACTGAAGAGAAGGACCCTTTGTCCCCTCCCACACCCAGAGTCCTTTAATTGGGACCCGTGTTTGGACAGTTGGGGTGCTGCCAGCAGGGGGAGTTCAGGGAGCTGGGAGGACAAGGAGGAAAGACTGGAGACCATCCTGCTCCTGAGGGCAGGGGTGCCTCCTTCCTGCCAAGCTCAGCTGCAGGCTTTCTCCTGTGAGTCTGAGGCTGGAAGCTCCCATGGGCCCCCAGTGTGTCTCCCCAGGCAGGACAGGAGAGGGGAGAGAGGGGTGGTTACTCCAGGAGCCTTGCAGGCACCAGCCTTGGTTTTACGGGGGCCCAAGATGAGCCCAGTGACCCTATAGTTTTGATGAACATGGAAGGAGGGTGTAGGGGCAGGCAAGATGCCCTTCTCCCCAGGAAATGGGAGGAGGCTGCTACTGTTGCTGGCTTTGCCCTGGATTGGGGGGCCCCTGCCCTGTGCCAAAGGACTTGTGGGAGGGGGCAGGGTCTTTGCAAGCTATCAAGGGGTGTGGCTCTGAGGAAGGGTGAGTGCCTACAGTGCTGATAGCCAGAAAGAAGGGCCCAGACAGGGTCTTGGTCCTCCAGATGGGCCCAGTGTTGGGAGGGCTGGCATGGGCCGCGTTGAGGGCCCACTCTCCCTTCAC